AAGAAAATATTGGTCTATATTGGAATTCTAAGTTTGTCTGGTCAAAAGTAGAATTCCAATTTTGTCTAAAAAAAACTGGTCTATATTGGAATTCTAATTCTGCCTGGTTAAAACTAGAATTCCAATTTTGTCTGGTCAAATTTAGAATTTGACCCAATTTCAATTTTGACCCCAACATATATTTACATGATTTTTCTTTTATCATAATAGAATACAACTGAATTGAATAGACAAGAAATTTATGCAATTGATATGTATGGGTATGGAGTATTGATTCGAAATCTTGTATCAATTATCAATATTGATGGTAAGAGATTTTACAAGAAATATCCGGGGTGCCATGAGCAGGAGGGGGAGCAGAGATGTCGTCTATCGTGCGAAATTGTTGATTGTACATGAAAGTATTTCTTTCAACCTGTTCGAATAGTTGATATTGAAGATAGTATTGTAAAGAATATTTTTTTTAATAGATTCTTTAAAAAGTCTTCTAAATGATTTACAAATATCACTTACGGAAGAAGATCCACAATTACGACCAACATGGTCATCACTTCTTCAAACACAATTATTTCAGTAAGATTTTATATTGTAAAGAAATATTTATATTTATTTTTTTTCTCTGATTAGAATTGATTATATTAAAGCAACAGAGCTTCTTGATCGTTTACCGACTGTTGAAGATTCAGAACTTCCTACTGTTGTCGAGTTTGTATTAATTTATTTAATTTTAAGTATTTTAATATTTTTATTTTTTCTAAAGTTCTCTATCAACATATTTGGATAATCTTCATGCAGAATATTTTAATGAATTATTAATTCGACGTTTATTTGTTCCATTTATGTTTTTATGTTCATCAACAAGATTAAAAATAATTCCAAGAATTATAATACCGAAAAACGATGATACGAATCATAATTCATGGATATCAATTGATAAATATCGTACATATGTTATACCAATTCTAGTTGATTTATTTTCTTATCATGTTACATGTATACGAGAAACATTACTTGAACATTTTGATTCATATTGGCAATTAATAGATCGAACAATTCTAATAAATACTATTCTTCCTCAAGTAAAATCTATTTTTTATTTCAAATTTTTATTTTATTAATTTTGTTTTTTCTCTTAGCTTATTTATGGACTTAAAGATTCGAGTAATTCAATATGTGCATTAACATTACTTGCATTAGCAGCAATGGTACCAATATTAGGTGCGGATATAGTTGTTGGTGGACAACGAAGACAAATATTTAGTGATAAATTAAAACGAGAAGTCTGTATTTATTCAATAGAAACTTCCGTAAAAATATTAATTTTATATTTAAAACATTAGAATGTTGTATTACCAAAAACAGCGAAGGCGGTATCTAAATCGAACACACCTGTACCAACACCACCACTTCCACAAAGAACAAAAAAATCTGTTGAAACAGAAAAGGACAAAACCAAGTAAATTCATTATTATAATTAATTTTTGTTGATTTATAATGATATTTTCTATTCTTTAGATCTCTTCGATTAAAACCTTCTCCACCTCCTCCCGCTCCCGCTCCTCCTCCTCCTAAACCGACATTAACCATAGAGAAACCATCTGTCGTTCCTTCCGTATACACAAATGGACATAATTCAACATCAACAGATTCTCTTGAAGAATCACCAAAAATTGTAGTTCAAAATGGTATATCTGATCATCATACAGATGATGAAATTGACAATGATGATGGTCAATGGTCAGATTGGGAACATAATCCAGATCCAGTCGAATCATTCAATGATTATACACAAGCATCATCAACATTTCCATTATCTTCTGAAGTATCCACTAAACCTGAAACAGTAACTTCACCAGTGAAATCTCTAAAATTAAATCATACTTTAAAATCGAATTGGAATCCGAATGCACCACTAGGTAGTGAATATGAAATTCCACCAGTTGTATTAACCAAAAAGAAAGAAACACAAGATGAAAATTTAGTAAAAAATGATATAGAAGATTTCTTTAAAGATATGGCACCAAAAGTCGAAACAGTTGAATTAATGAGACAACTTGAAACAATGTTTAGTGTTGATGCAAACCATCCAACAGAACAAACCAAATCGGCAATCAAACCAAAAACAACAACAACAACAACAACAACAACAACATCAGTATCCAATAAATTTGGTATTATGTCTCATGATCAAGAAGATAATCAGGAAACAGAAAATGAAAATAATAATTGGGATGAATAAATCACTTTTTGTTCGAGCTTTTACATATAAGCATAGTGATATATAATGAACCGTAATTTTTAACCTGGTGGTTACATTTTTAACGTTTTTTCTTTCGATTTCCATGTATATTTTAAAACATTAAATAGATAATCTTTCATCATTAATAAAAGTTATCTTTTATGAATGATTTTCGAAACATATATATATATATTTAAATTATCATTTTGAACAAATAAAATATATTTATTATACAGGAGAAACTTTCACAACTAAATAATCTATGATATGAATTGATGATACGCCTTTCTTTTTTCAAAATATTTCTGCGTAAATAAATTTATTGATAGCTAGTCATAATTGTCTATCTACTTTAATAAAATATGTGAAGAAAAGGTGTATACTACACAAGGTCAATACTATTGCTTTATGAATCTAATGACTCATCGATTGACTAATATAATACTTTTCATTTATCTTAATTTAGAATAAATCATACTGCTAAATAAATGTTTAATGACTGATTTCAATAAATAATAATGATTCTAATAAATATTATTAATTGTCAGTATTACATTGGATATTTTTATTTTTTAAATAACAAGTAACACTCATCTCCTAGACTCGTTGGAAAATAGAGAGAATATCGAAATATCCACAAAATCCTTTGTTTTTTGAAAACTCGATTTCTGTTGGCTCTCATTACCTCTCCCAATAAGTTGTCTGATCAAATAGAACTTAGATTCGGCTTTTCCACGTTGAACTACCCCCAAAAACCTTTGATCAAACTTAGTTTTATATCTACCTTGAATTTTTAATGTTGATGTTTTTTTGACCTACACTACAATCGAGGGAATAATTCGATAGAAAATAATATATTCTCGAATATTCTATCGATCTACACTTTACACGATTATATTTCTCTTTCGTTTGGATAGACTTTTTCTGTTATATGTTTAGTTCTACTATAGAATATCTAAAATATTTATGAATAGACTATTATATTAATATTTTTTGTACTTAAAAACAAAGTTATGAATTAATTGTCGATGAACGCCATGCTTGTTTTATTAATTGACATGTACTTTCTGCAAAGATGGTTTCAGAAGAATTTGTATTTGAAGATTGATAACATTCAATTAAACAATTATGTGTATCATGTAATAGTGATGGTAAAGGATGATTAATCTTATTTTTTCGAATATTTTCAATTGTTTGTAATGAAATTATATTTGAATCTGATGAAGCAGTAGAAAGATTTGCTGACCACAAAAGAAAGAATTTTCGAATATATTCCGAATAATCATAATCTTACTGATAGATTCAGATTTTTCATTATTAATAGAAATTGGTAGTGAAGAAGAGGGTAATGATAGCATTAAAGGTAATATCTGTCCATCTTTTATAGAAAAACAATAAAGTGGATAGGCTGACGATTGTTGTTCATTAGTATTTGTTTGCGTCTGTACAGATTTTAATAAAAGAAAATTTAAATTTGAACTACTAGTTGCCGTAGTTCTCATTAATTTAGATTTAATTTTTGAATATAAAATTGAACTACTATTATTTGATTTTAATGTCGACGAAATACTATAAAGAATAAATATAAATAGAACACCAATAATTTAATATAAAACAAAAATATACGGATTTCGAATTTCATTATAATGACAAGTAGAATATGTTATTGTTGATAGACTTGTATCATCCATTCTTTCATGATTTGTAAAGATTTTCTTAATAAATTCATAGAACCAGTCGAATATTGATGTTGATTTTGAATAATATTTATAATTCTTATGTTTTTTTCTTTTCATTATCTTATCTAAACCTGATTTTTGTTTGATATTACAATTAAATTTTGAAGAAGGACTACAAAATGATGGTGATGGACCGTCACCTGCATCTAATAACCATTTTCGAATACTAATTAAAGATTTTTGACTTATACATCGATGATTATTCATGACAAAAAAAAATTGTCAAATTAATTTGAAAAGATAATAATAACAGAGCGGGATAATAATTATTTAATATTAAAAATTTTTAACATTTATTCGAATTTGATATATTTTAATCTATATATGATAAAAATTCTATTTCTATGAAACGTGTATGAAATGACCTTTATTTTGTCCTCAGATGATCTAAAGAAAAATCATTTATGCATTGTCATCATTGCAAATCAAAATATGCATTTTTGCCAAGGTCAGTAGATAGAAACTATTAAATTATACGAAATCTACTTACATAATCAAAGGAAGAAAGAAAGAGAAAATATAATATCTTACTTTGTATTCTATATCTAGATGATATCGATTATTTGTTCTACTTTCTTTACTGAAATAGAATAATCGAGGTGAATGATATCGAATATAATCACGATTGTAATCAAACAAAGCGCTTTGTTTTCGTATCGAGGTATGGATTTTTCGCGTATAAAAAGCGCATGAATTTTGCAGATTCTTCATCTCGCTTCGTTCGTTCTAATCTTATTCTAATCACTTATCAATTTCGGTAATTAATCTTATTTATTATTTAAATCATTTATCGAATCATTTATTTTTTTTTATATAGATTCAAACAAAATGTTTGCTCAATTATTACTTCTTCTTGCTTTACTCGTTGCCCTTCTCGCAACCGTCTCTGAAGCCTTTTTTGGCTGGGGAGGTTATGGATATCTTGGCTACGGTTTTGGTTATCCATACTACGGTTTAGGTGGATGGTGGGGTCGTTAAATGTTTACTTAAAAGGTAAACAGGTAAGTGTCTAATAAAGAATTATTTTAAATTGTTATCTTGATTGTTTTTTTTAAATAGTGTGTATATGCAGTATTCAATGAATTTTTTGGGACCAACATCGGATAAACATCGTTTATGGGGATATTTTCATATACACATGACAACGAAGTGAATCACACATTATTTTTTCATCTATTGTATATTGCCGAGGATTTGTGTGTTAATAATTTTTCATATATATGTATTTTCACTATTTAATAAAATTGTCAATGAATTTACCATAAAATATTTGTTCTCTTTATACTGCAATGATTTTAAAGCGAAAATTTTAGCAAAAAAGAAAGACAAGTGAATTTGATATAAAGTATTTTATTGTTTTATAGAGATAGTTATTAAAGAAATCGAAGATGAAATACTTATTTTATCTGCAGAAATCTTTGCAAAATGTTTTATCAAGTTAACTAATATGTTGTTGATAATAGAAATAAGCGTATAGTACGACGAATATATCGAGAGGAATCAGTGGTGGATTTTGGAAGAGAGTGCGTTCGCACCCTCTCTCAAGTTTTGTTTTTGATTTTTCTCAGCAAAAATTGACCGAAAATCAGTAAATGATATATCGAACGGAGGCAACAATACGATTTTTCATCGAATTCACACTCATTCCCTAGAAATTTTCGATCCACGACTGAGAGGAATAGTAGATGATGGTTTAACATTTTTGTTAATTAAAATATTATTTTCTTCAATATCGCGTCTAATAAAACAATCTAGTAAATTTTTTTATTTAGAACTACATTGAGAAAAACGTATGCTTAGAATCTATTTTTTCAGCAAAATGTTAGTGGTGATATAAATCTTCGATAGAGAGAAATCGTCTTATAACTATTCTTGTTTTTAATATGTTCATACCGATAGTAGTGACATCTGATGTCGCTATAATTTTAAATCAAACGAATCCACATTTAACACCTCATAGAAGAACTTTCGATTTCGATTTTATCTTAAAATAGAAATGTTTACTATTGGTTAACTATACAAATATATTATTGTTTATCAGTACGGACTTTTTTGTTTATAATTTAATGAACTGTGACACTCATGAGTCACTCGCACTTTTTTGCATCGTCAACGATTATATGCATATATTTGTGAGTGCGTTCTATTTTAGATTTATTATTCGAACAAATAATACAGTTAACCATGGCTGAAAATAATAAAGAAAAGTACATTTTAATAACTAATTCTTTATTATTTCTCATGTAAAATATTATATTTTAGAGCCGATATTGGCCTTATTGGTTTAGCCGTCATGGGTCAAAATCTCATTTTAAATATGAATGATCATGGTTTTACAGTAAATAAATTTTTTTTTAGTTAATATTTATTAAAACTAAGAAAAACTTATTATAGGTTGCTTGTTTCAATCGAACCGTATCTAAAGTAGATCAGTTTTTAAATAATGAAGCCAAAGGAACAAATGTAATTGGTGTACATTCTATTGAAGAACTTGTTCAATCACTTAAAAAACCACGTCGAGTTATGCTTTTAGTTCAAGCTGGTACAGCTGTTGATGATTTTATTAATAAATTGGTTAGAAACTTATTTCGATATTTTTATTATCAAATTTTATGCTTATTAGATTCCATTACTTGATCAAGGTGATATTATTATTGATGGTGGAAATTCACTTTATAAAGATTCAATAGTATGAAACGATAAATAAAATATTCAAATTTTTTTATTATTTTTGTACTTTTCTTTTAGAGACGAGCTAAAGAAATAGAAGATAAAGGTTTTCTTTTTATTGGTACGGGAGTATCAGGTGGCGAAGAAGGTGCTCGTATAGGTCCATCATTAATGCCCGGTGGAAGTGAGAAAGCATGGTGAGATAAATTTTAAGAGATGAAATAACCAAATATTATTTATTGATTTTTAGGGAACATGTAAAACCAATCTTTCAAAAAATCGCAGCTAAAGCTGATGGCGAACCATGTTGTGATTGGGTAAATTAATTTTCTTTTCTTTCCGTTTTTTTAAATAATTATATTTTGTTAAAAATAACTCTAGGTTGGCCCATCCGGTTCAGGTCATTTCGTTAAAATGGTTCATAATGGTATTGAATATGGTGACATGCAACTTATCTGTGAAATTTATAATATAATGAAAGATATTTTAAACATGTCCAATGATGAAATAGCTGATGTATGATTGATCTTAATTAATTTCTTATTTTCCCTTCATCTTTTTGCTTTGTTTTGTTTATTTAGACATTCACTGAATGGAATAAAGGAACATTAGATTCATTTTTAATAGAAATAACAGCTAATATTTTACGTTATCAAGAAAAGGGCAAACATGTTGTAGATTTAATTCGTGATTCAGCTGGACAGGTTAATAAATACTTTTATTTATTCTTTATCTATTGATAAGATTCTTATCTTTATCTTTTTTTTATATAGAAAGGTACTGGTAAATGGACAGGTATTGCTGCACTTGAATATGGTGTACCTGTAACCTTGATTGGTAAGAGATAATATCAATTTCTAGATAAGAAAAATTAAGTTTTAAAAATATATTAATAGGTGAATCTGTTTTTGCTCGATGTTTATCATCATTAATTGATGAACGTGGTCGTGCATCAACACAATTAAAAGGTCCTAATGTTCAAGATTTTGATGGTGATAAAAAACAATTTATTGAATATCTTGGTCAAGCATTATATGCATCAAAAATCATATCATATGCTCAAGGTTTTATGCTTATGCGTCAAGCAGCTAAAGAATATTCATGGAAATTAAATTATGGTTCAATTGCACTTATGTGGCGTGGTGGTTGTATTATTCGAAGGTTTGTTTTCTTCTAAATTTATTTATTAAATTTATATTTATTTATTTAAAGTGTATTTTTGGGCAATATTAAAGCAGCCTATGATAAAAATGAATCATTAGAAAATTTACTTTTGGATCATTTCTTTACAGATGCTATTAATAAATGTCAACAAGGTTGGAGAAAAGTTATAGCAACTGCAACTGTCTATGGTATACCAATACCATGCCTTAGTACTGGTAAAATAATGATTTTTATTTTTATTTTAAACAAATTTTAATATATATTTTTTTGTATATTTAAAGCATTAGCATTTTATGATGGTTATCGTTCCAAACGTTTACCAGCAAATCTTATTCAGGTTTGATATCTTTTGATTTATTTTATTTTCAGAAGAAATTTTAAGGAAAATAAACGAAATAAATTTTTTAGCAAATCAAAAGTTCACTATGATCTTGTACAAGCAAAATTATAATAAAAAATGTGATTTTATTATGTTTCTCTTTTTTCAATTCTTCTAGGCTCAACGTGATTATTTTGGTGCACATACATATGAATTACTTGACAATCCCGGTACATACGTTCATACAAATTGGACTGGACATGGTGGAAATGTTACTGCATCAACATATATACATTAAATTATTCAATTTTACTTCAATCAAACTAATTACATTCAAAAGTTTGGTGTTTTTGGTCTTTCGATTCGTAGTCATTTTTAATCTGAGTTTCCTGCTTTTTATATATTCACGTCACAAAAAAAAACAAAATTTTTCTGTAGTTTCATGATTATTTTAGACAAAATAAAATTCCAGACAGATGATGAAGTAAAATGAATAAATATATATATTTGATTATTTAATATAAACTATAAATGGAAACAAAAAAAAGGAGGTATTCTTTATGATGAATAGAATAATAAACAAATTGATATTCATATAATTATCTCAAATGATGATAATACTACTTAAGTAGAGAACTTACTCAAGAAGAATATGATGAAGTAGGAATAGATAGTTAACAATGTTTAGTATACAAATGGAAGTTTAATGAAATTGTTGTATTTTTGAAAATAATTACAGAATAAATCTATTTTTTAGTTTGATAATTACATCAGTACGTTGATTTTTTCATTTGTTATTAAGTATATATTCAAGAAATCTTTTAAAAGAGATAAATAAACTTTGCCAACAAAATGCCATTATAGTAAAAGGCATTACAGTTGAAGAGAAAAAGTCTTCTTCGAAATGGCTCCTTAGGCAACTATCTTCCTCAAGAGAAATCGATCCTTTCTTCCTAAGCATGTTCTTCCTACATTAATCAAAACTTACCATTGAATAAAAGTATGTTCTCTTTCTAGTTAGTTTTTTTTTCTTCTTCTAAAGATAATGCATTCAGAAAGAGCACATCTAAGATTTAATCATATACAGGATGCTATATGAAATATTCATATAACGTGCTTTTCAATACTAAATGAACATTGACGTCTGTTCAGCATAAATATTATTTAAGATTTTACTACGAACTATAAGTATTGAGTAATTACCTATTTGTAATTATATTTTTCTTTTTTTTTTATTCTAATGACTAATCACATTTCTTCATCAATATATCACTAATATTAATCTTTACGGTTGAATGATGCTTTCGTATCTAAAAAATCAAAACATAATCTTGTATCTAGCAAAGCATTAATTTGTTTGCTATAATAGATCAAAAAAGAAATGTCTGTTTCCCGTTCATTCTCTTATAAAAGCGTTATAAGCAATTTGAGTAATGCTCAACAACAGGACATTAAAGAAAAACGAGAGGATAAGACTATCGGAGAATAGAGAATTATTTTTATAATGTCACTATCTTTCTACATTAACGCGGAAGAAAGTTGCCTCGATCTATTCTTCAACATTTTCTCGTCTTTTTCCTTGTCTCTTTATAGCGATAGTCAAATTAACTTCTTTTAAAAACATTCTTCTCAATGACTAGACGTTATTGTACTCGATTGTTTCGTATATATCTTATTCTATTAACAATTTCTATGATAATTTCTTGGTTAATACCATTTGTATTCTTTGATTTCAATCAGAAAGAAGATGATCTAATGAAATATTATGAGACATTTTCAGACGATCATATATATCCACCACCATGGTATATGTCAAATTGGACAATAACTGATTATTTTATTCGAAAAGAAAATTTTAAAAAACTTGAAGATCAAGATGCAATAGATAAACAACAGAAAATAATTATAGAAGATAAAAACAAATTTAAAAAATTAAATTATACTATACTTGAATATACAACTGTTTTTGATCGACCAAAATTTTGTGGAAAAACGCAAGATTTTATTTTCGGAAAACAATGTCCATATAAAAATTGCAGGTAAATCAGATATTTCATTGAGAATACTCAGTACATAAGAGGGAGGGTGACACAGATTTAAAAAATTGTGTTGAAATATAAAAAGAAACATTTTTCTCCTTAAGATACTCGATAATATGAGAAAAAATCTATATGAATGATTTATTAATAAATCGATCGAAGAACATTTAATGCCACTTGGAATTGATATTATATTTAGATACGCATGTAATCGAAAATGGTCAAATATTGCAGATGTATTATTAATGCATCGAAGTGATATAAAATTTGATCAATTACCTAAAGAACGTAACTCTAATCAGATTTGGTTATTTTGGCATGATGAACCCGGTGGTGTTTCAAAACAAGCAATTTCGTATCAATTTAATTGGACTATATCATATCGTTTAAATGCTGAAGCTAGTATAGGTGCTTATGGTTTAACTGTTCTTCGTAATAAACCATTATCTTCAAAAGAATTTAATTCCTATATAAATGAACAATTTCGTAATCGACAACCAAATGCAATATGGTTTGTTAGTAATTGTCAACCAAAAGCTCGTCTTAATTTTTATTTAAAATTTCGTTTATATTATCCATTAATAAAAATTTATGGTCAATGTGTTTCAAAAAATAATTCAAATCAATGTCATCGAAATTCTCAATGTGAAATATCTGAATTGACAAAAAATAAATTTTATTTCGCATTCGAATCACAATCATGTCGAGATTATGTAACAGAAAAATTTTGGCGTTCACTTGCTTTTGGAATTATACCAATTGTATTTGGTCCACGTGATAAACAATCATTAGAAAGAATAGCTCCACCAAATTCATTTATTTATACGGATGATTTCACGTCAATGTATGATCTTGCAGAATATTTAAATGAAATTGATCGAAATCAAACATTATTTCGAGAATTTCATCGATGGCGACAATTCTATGAGATTTATTATCAGCCAGATGATATTGAACAATATCGTTTTTGTGAACTTTGTTATCGATTAAATACAAATCATCAAAGAATTTATTATCAAAACATAAATGAATTTTTTCTAGAAGATTGTTAATACTTACTACATCTAATTTATATAATATTACATACAATCATGTTGTTTTCATTTAATAATAAAGATAATAGTAGATTATTACTATATAATATATCTATTGAAGACTTTAAGACGTTAGAGATATAAGTTAATTAAATGAATGATCAATATCTGAAATAATTTCAATCTCTGTATAAAGCAAAAAAGGAGCAGTATTGCATATAATCGTTATCACTGATCTACATCTCTCGTTATTATTCTTCAGACTAGAAAATTCATTTAACAGATAGAATCTCTGTTTTTTTCTATATTTGATTCAATGCATTTAAATAGAATGACATTTTTCAACGGAACATTATTAACCTTTTTCAGTAATTAGATTGTCAAGTAAATTGGCTCTTTCGTTATTAGATGTGTTTCTGCCTTCTTTACATATAATTGAAAATTAAAGAAGAAATAGATGATGAACAAGAGACAAAAAATTATGAGATAGCTGTTTATTGTTTATTTTGTCTACACTTTATACTATACTCTAGAAGATATACAATCAATTGATAGTGAACTTCTTTTCCTTAAATTTCCAGCATAGAAAATATTGAAGAGAGAAAAGTTCTTATTTTATTTTTAACAAATTCATCAGATAAAAAAACATTTCTATTGATTATTAAATTCCTATAAATGGCTGTACTATAGTATCCATTTGAGTATTAGTTAATTGTTTTACATCAGCTTGTTGTTCATAAGTAGGTATTGAATATTTAATATTAATAAAAGCATCTTGTCCACCAAATTGTTCAAGTACAATTAATGTATCATTAATAAGACGAACAAGATTAGTTTCAATATTTTTTTCAAAATCATCAATTATCTTACATGATTTTTGATTTCGATAAGATTTTTCCTGATTACGTTCTCTTATAATATTAATTATTGGTAAAATTTGATTGAAATAAGGTACTAAAGCTATACCAACAGCACCATCATTACCACGTGCTAAATTTTGTAGAACAAATAAAACACGACTAATAACAATGGGATCATTTGTATATAGAGCACGTTTAAGTGGTACAATCATTTTTGAAAGTGTTTCACCATCAATTTTATGTGAAGCACGTGTAATTAAATCTAAAATACCTTGTAAAGCAATAAAACTGTATGGATATTTTGTTTCACATAATCCATCTGTAAAAATTGGTAAATAATAATAAATATTTAATGTTTCTAAATCATTAATAAACCATTTAAGTTTTTGTCCTTTAGTAATATGTTCAATAGTACAAGGAAGATCACCACGTTCATAGAATAATCGAAAGTTTTCAGAACGACATATTTGTTTCTTAAAATTATTACGATTGATTAAAGGACAAACTATTGAACATCGTTGACGAGATTGAATTGAAAATGGTAATACACAATATTTTCGTAATGAACATTTACAATCTAATATATTTGGTTTAAGAACAGTTTTACAACAATAAGACATTTTCAAAAGTATAATAAAAATAAAAAGAATCGAATAAATGTTTCTATGGATTCGTTTTAATAAAATTTATGAAATATTCTCAATACATTTTATATTACATCATGTCTTTTTTTTAATGTAATTTAATATCGAGAATATGTTGACTAATGATACGAAAACAAATTTTAATAAACAATGGTATTCTGATAATGATGAAGATTGTTCATGTAGTAGTTGTGATTGTTCAAATTGTATTAATAAAGATACATCATCAAAAATACAACAAAATGAAACTATATCAATGACTGAACAACAATCTCTTTATGATATTATTGATCAATCATATACAAGAATTCCTGGTATATTAATTGAATAGAGAAATAAATATTTCTATATTTTTTATTTAGTTTTATACAATTCAATAAAACAAACAAAATTAGATACAGATTTTATATTATCTGTTAATGATTATTTAGATCGATTAAAAGCAAATATTTATAAAGATCTTATACGACGTGAAACCGTATTACGTAATGGAAAAAATCATATCGAAAATTTCATATCACTTATTCGTTGTATTTGTAAAATATCTTATGAACAATCACTTGAAATTTCAAATAATTTAAATATAATAGAATATGCTGTAATCTATATAATGACAGCAATTGATTATATTCTTCAATGTAATTTTCCACAGAGTAAAATATTTATATATATGAAAAGAAAAGAAAACTATTATATAATTTATAGAAAAAACATTATTGAATTATATTCTTAATGAATATATTTCTATGTGGTTACATGAAAATCTTCGTATAATTCAAGAAGATTTTAGTATTATTAGTAAACATGGAACAAAAACTAATTTTTTTTCACTTTGTATTTGTATTTTTCGCAAATTAGAATTCATATGTACAATTAATTGGGTAAATTATTTTTTAGTTTCGAAAGAAAATAAAAATATTTTTAGAAACGTTTACAAATGATACAAAATTATCGACTGTCAAATTTTAATCAATTAATGAAAGAAACCAGTATTAAATTAGAAACTAGTCAAGATTTTATATTATTATTTGGTAAATCTTTAAAATCAACAACGAAAAAATCTGAAATACCAATAACATTATTATATTCTAATCGAACAGATAATGAATTAAGGGATATTGATGAAATACATAATATATTTAGAAAATCTATTGCAAAAATTCTTAACGCAGAAAACCAGAAGTTACCATTTCAATCATCATCTTCTCAACCAATAATTTCACCAGTGAGTATTTTCTTGAATACTTAGATTTAATTTGATGTATACCTAAAGTTATAATATTCAAGGACAGAATATATGCCATTTATTGTTTTGTTTTTAAATAGTCGGTAGAAATAGTATCACCAATTTCAAATGAATTAATCAATGTAGATTATTATTCAGCAAGTAAAGAGAATGAAGATCGATCAATGAAAGAAAAAGATGTAATAGGTAGAAGTAAAACTATATTAAAGATGGTTGATCAACAGGAACAATCTACACAACCGATCGAACCTACTTTACTGTCGCATTATCCATCAACAACATCTTCATTAACAGATCATTTTAAAGAACCACAAAGAAGTTCTCTGTCAGAATCTAAATCAGTCTCTCTTGAAGATCAACAACAATTGTGGTCAATTGAAACAAATTCTCAACAAAGTATTTTACTAAAAGATTATTTCTGTTTTAGAAAATGATACATAATTTATACTTCGATTAGACTTATCATCTACATCAGTATATAAATCTCCTTCTGAATTCCAAGTGACAAATACTGAACATATCAGCAGTTATCATGAGGATGTTCAAAAGTTAGATTCTCCATTGAAAAATCAAACTAAAGAAAATATATCATCAATTGATCATCCATTACAAGAACCATTTATTCCTGACAAGCCCTTGACATGCAATCCTTTTTCGTCTACATCATATCATAGTTCTTTTGATAATAGTATATCAATAAGTTCAACAGCAATACTAAATAAAGAGATCGTAAGAATTAAAATCTTTCTATATATATTCGTTCATATCTTTCTTCAAATATGAATAGAATGAATTAATTCACTTTTTAACAGATCTTGCCAATTCATCAACATTAGTTCACCAGAAAAAAGAATCATCATCATTATTAAAACAAGTAAATTAAAAAAAAGAAAATAATATTTATTAAATAATCTATTTTTTCAGCTTATGTCTTGTTTAGAACAAAATAATATTGATACAAAGTCAATTATGAATAAAATTCAACATTCTCATTCACAAGAGTCTCTTAGTGTGAGAGAACCATTGTTTCTTGCAAAATTTATACATGTTTTACGCAAAGAACTTGAAGATGCACAAATTCTAAGAGAAATAGATCATGGACAATCACAGAATATTGATTGTCCGTCATTTGAAACAAGAAATATACTTAAACTATCAAAATCTAATACATCCACTAGAGATCATATCGATCAAGATCGTGTATGTATTGAAGTTACACATGATCCATCACGATGTACACCAAATCCTGAAATATTTTATCATCAATGTCATCCATGTGGTTGTGATGGTAAATAAATCATTCTAAATACTGTGTTGACAAGTTGATATTTCTTATATTTTAGATTCATCATCATCACAATCCGATTGTTGTCAGCAGCGAATGTATTGGATTTGTTCAAAAGAATACTCGTCATGCAAAGACTGTACTGTAACACCTAATTCATTATTTTGTGCAAGAGAATCACTTGAGAAAAATACTCATTCAGTTACTGTTGAACATAATGAAGAATTTCGATAAAAATACATTATCAATTTATTCAGATATGGATCATTTTCTCGATCGATAAGCAATGCTAGTAACAGATGTTTTTACAGGAAGATATTAGATATTTTTGAATCACACAAAAATCTATAGTCGGATTTCATCTTCCACTCAGTATTCAAATTTGATAAATATAGAAGGAAATAGTATTAATACAGTTCTTTTTAAGTTATCATACTATGAACTTCGTCTAATAATTAAATGTAAAATGTTCTTAAATCTATATCTTAAAATAGTAAAATAGATTTAACATTGTTTTATTTTATTAGCTGATTCACATGTTAGATGACTTTGTTTAAGTTGTGTAATAGTAAAAATAATTTCTTGACCTTGTCTTTTCCTAAGATCATCTTGTCCATATTTTTCAATCAATAATTTTTGAAAATTTTTTACATCTTTATCAACACCAATTGTTTCTAAATCCTTCGATTGTTGATTAATTTCATAAATACCATATTTAATTGCTCGTCTTTTATATTGTTTATCAATTTTCCATTTTAATGAAAGTTTTGATAAAATTCTGATCCAATTTTTTAATATTATTTTATCAGTATTCGTTTTAAATGCTCGTATCTTTGGACATTCAGATTTTGTTTCTCCTTGTATCAATCGACAAAATCTTTGTTTTCCTTTTTGCTCTATGAATGGAATAGCATCATTGATTATTGAAGATATTCTCGTTTTTTCAAAACCAAAACGTTCTGGTTTAATAAACATACGTTTACCATCATAATCATTGAGAAATGGTGGAAGTTCTCCAAAAAGAATATGATCAAACTTATTTGGTAAACCTAAATTATTACATAATCAATTTATTAAATCATTCTCTCTTTTTTTGTAATAACAAACATGATTTAGGAATATCCATTCCATATGTAGAATATCTATCAGATTCAATTGATACATTAATAGTTTCATATTGTTGATGTTGTTTAGATTGAATTATTCGATTAAAAACTAGATTTGATGAATCGAAAAGAATAAGCATTTCTAAAGTTATAATTAAATATCATTAAATTAATTCATTAGATAAAGAAATACCTTCATTAACAATAACTGACTTTTTATTAATTGATGCTTGTTGAAAAAGAAAATGTATTAAACTACACATATTTTCAGGATTAACTTTTTCATATATTATATCAGAATTAATCGATAATTGTCGAAGAAAATTTTTGCCAAGATTAGCTTTTTTCGAATTTACATTTATTTTCGGTTGAATACAACATTCTTTTGAATGTATTTCTACTGTTGAAAATTTATTTCGACTACCAAAAAAGCCTAATACATCATTTGTAAGAGAAAACAATACAATAATGATTGAAAGTATTGAAAAAGAAAAATTCATTTATTTAAAATAAATCGAAACGATAATATCTGAGAGAGAGAGAAAAAAAATAATCATATTACCCGCGTTTAAAACTGATCTAAACTATAAAGGTTACCACAATAATCATTTATCTTCATAATACAAAATACGGTCTTTTAGTCTATGCTATTCATTAAGCATACATGTAATATTTATTAAAGAAATTAAATGAAGAATTAACATTTTTTCATTTTACTCAAGAATTCACAAGTTAATGGACTATTTAATAATCCTTGTGTTGTAAATATAATTTCACGACCTTTTCGAACACTTATATCATCAGTTCCATATTGTTTGATCATTTCCGTAAGAAAATCTTTAACTTTATCTTGTTCATTTGTTGCTTCAAATTGTTTTGCTTGTTGATAAATTTCGCCTATTCCATATGTTGTAGCATTTTTGTAAAAGTCTTCCTGACGATTTGAAATAGATGGAATTGTCATTAAAACTGTATGCCATTTTTCAAGTAATTTTTTATCAGTATTTTCTCGAAATGCATCTTCCTTTGAACAACCAGGTTTTTCTTTCATTTCTTCTAATTGACAAACATATTTTCGTGATATGCTTTCCATGTAAGATTGAGCATGTTTAAAAAATTGTTTCAAGTGACGAATACCAAAGAATTCAGGTTTTATATAAATACGTTCACCATTATATTTACCTTGATTTTTAATTGAAGGAAGTCTACCAAATAATATATGACCAAAACCACTAGGCATACCTAAAACAAAACATAGATTTTGTTGTATTCATATGAAATTAAAATACATACAAGCTCCTGGTATATCCATTCCATAAGCAGGATAATCTTGTGTTCGATCTTGTTTTGATCCTCGTTCTCCATGATAATGTGAACTTTCATCACCACGAACATAGATAAATGTATCGGAGGGTGTCTCAGGTTTTTTAAATAAACCTTTTAATGCTTTATGACCCAAATGTTTAATGCGTTTTCCATATCCTGCATATTTTGCATCATCACCTGATTTTTGTTCATTTTTTGCTTTCATTAATTGTTCAAAAATTGTATTGGTTGAATCAGATAAAACAAACATACCTTAATAAATATAATTAAGATAATGCAAGTTTCATAATATATACTTTTTATATATACCTTTAGTAAATGTTATTGTTTTATTGTTAAGTGATGCTTGTTGAATAAAAAAATGAATAAGATTACACATATTTTCAGGATTAACTTCTTTGTATGAATCAGCTTCTGTAGATAAATGACGAAAAAATTCTCTACCAATATTTGCTTTTTTTGAAGCAACATTAATTTTAGATGAAACACAACATTCATCTGATGTGGATCTTTTAGTACGAAATTCATGATGTTGATCAAACCAAGTGAAACTTTCTGTTATTAGCAGAAATAACAAGAAGAAAATAATCTGATGATACTGCATTTGTTGTCTGATGAACAATAATAGAAATGTATGTATGAAGAATGAAATAAATAGGATTGTATGGACGTGAAGAATGAAAGAAGAGAAAATAAACTTGTTATGATTCGTTTAAACAAAACAATTCTAATGGTAACATATTATTCAGTTTTACTAATTCAACTATCTAGTCAATCATAAATTTTTTTTCGTTATTTTATTTTGTATTAAATAGACCGACATCCTAGTCAAATAATATACCAATCTTAAGAAAGAAAATTCTTCTTATTGGATGCATCACATTGCATGAATTTGACATCTATCCACATTGCTACTATAGCATGTTTATGAATGGTCGATTGAGAACCATTAACTACTGACGAATTCTAATACGTAATATGTATTTACAGATTATGTAACAGTAACAGAATATATTAGACGTTAAACATACTATTAATCAAAGCAATCTTTGAAATATATAATAATGAATTTTAATATTTATATAGAACAAGATCAGTTTGTCAGATTCGTCATTTTAACATATATCTGTAGAATGTGCTACTCGGTAACCATATGGAAGAATATAAGTATTATTTGTGATCATTTTTTCTCTGTTAGTCTATTTTTCTCATTTTTTTGTCATCAGCTTGCCAGACATTGTTTATGTGCATTGATGTGAAAGAATAAATTGCCTTATTTTAATACAAAGAATACTATGAAATATACAATATTATGACATTTATTCCGATAGTTTTATCGTCTTTAGTATTTCAAATGTAACAGAAATATTACTTTTTAATAATTGTTTAATCGCGTGATTATCGAGTACAAAATCTATATTCAATTATTATAACATTATTCGTGTCGAAATATTGTTTTTGCGATCTCTTTGACTCGAACTCGAGTATAAGAGATCAGTTGCAAGCAGGAGATGATTTTGCAGTACCAGGCCCAGATCGAGTAAGTCAATACAATGCTTGATTTTCATACATTAATATTGATTTATTTTAATATACAGCCTACACCTGTTTATTATACTGATTGGCGTCAAAAACCATCGATTCCATTTCGTCGTGGAAAACATTACAACATCTCGAAAGGTTAGAATAACTATAAATAATCAAGAAAAATATATTATTTAATTTTATAAATAGTTGGTCCTCCTATAACAATATCTGTTTATCCACCGACTATTTTATTCGGTCGTTTACTTAAATTAATATGGGGTAAAAGTCCTATTTGGGAAATATCACAATCATCTATTGATATTGATGATTATTTACCTATTTGTTTACATCCAGTACCACTTCCAACAATAACTGATCATATAAAACATCAAACTCTTTGTGCTAAACCAATTATTTGGATGGTACGAAGATCTCAAGTACAAGCTCATTCTATTTCTCGATCTATTAATAAAATACGATTGATTGATGAATTACCAATAAATCAAAAATATAATTTTGTTTTACTTGGTAATGGCAATTTAGTATTTGGTAAAATTCCACATAGAACACTTAAATATCCTTATCGATTATTAAGTAAACATGTAGTTCTTGCTAAACGTTCGCCTAATGTACGATTTGCAGGTGAAATGAAAAAAACTGATAATGGTGAAACATTGCTTATCAATAATAATTCTGGTACTTATCGACCGGATGATAAAATGGTGCCTGATGCTGTGGCTTATTTTCACCGTCTTTTTCCTCATTTACTAGTACGTGAAATATCACGACATTAATTTCATTAAATTTGTTATTTTTTTATAATCAGTGTGTTTTGCATATTTTATTGATCTCATTATCTTGTTAAAATAAAAAAAAACAAGCGCTTAATTATCGCTGTAAATAAATTTTTTTTCCTCATTGTCTGATAAATGGCACCATTGACATTAACCGAAAAGTACGATGATTTAGTTCGATGTGCTGACCAACCTTTGTCATCTTATGATAAATTGAATAGTAAAGATCTTGAAGATGTTATTAATAAAATATGACCGTTTCTTACTGAATCAATTACGTATACACCATTATCTTTAGAAAAAAATGAATCAGTATCAGCATCAACTCTATTCAATGGTGATATTCGTACGAAATTAGCACGACGTCTAAAAATACAATTTCATTCATATTCTGAAGCAGCGAATAGATGTCAACAAAAATTTCCTAATCGAAAACCAAGCAATCGAAATAAAACTCGTAAGCTAAGGAAAAATATTCGTCAAAATAATATCTATTAACGCAATTTCTTGATTTGTTCAGATACAAATGCTTATTTGAGAGATAGTGGATTATTATCTTTTGAGACAAGTTCAACATTTTCTCTTAATAACATATCGAAAATAAATATACCTGACTTTTATGTGTTTTGTACATCTAAATATACAAATCGTAAACAACAACAAATAGATTATGATCGTGTAAGAAAATATATAAGAGCAACAATACAAACATCACCATATAGAATGTTAATATTTAAACAAGCTTTGAAAGTAATAAGAAAATGATATTTTTCGTTTTTATTGTTCTCTAATTTTTTTAATTAGGAATGTTGTCGATGTGGGAATTATTATCAACTAGAGAGTCTATGTTTAGCAGCTGATACAACTATTGAGAAGATTCATTTTGATAATAATGATACTATACTTCATGAATGTATCAAATTAAATAATAAACAACTGACAAGAGAACTTATTAAATTTAAATTTAATATAGATGTTGATGGAGAACTGGGTACACCACTAGTCACAGCAATTCATTATAATATATTTTGGGCGGTGGAGATATTGCTGAAAAATGGAGCCAATTTAACTAAACGTCATATTGATTGGCCATACTTGACACTCTATGAATATTGTATACAATTTGCAAAAATTGATATAAAAATTATGATCAATAATTATATTACATCGTTAATTCATAAACATAAATATACAATTATTCAAAAATTAATAAAGGATGGTTGGAATATTCATTTGAAAAAAAGATGACATATGTAAAATATTGACTTTATGAAATAATGACTTAAATAATCATAAATAATAAAAAATTGAGTATATGAATAAATCGGTTTAATACAAAGAAATTCACAACATGTTTTAGTGTGATATGTTCATATAGTAAAAAAGGTGGCAAATAGTTTTCATCATTTCCTATTAGTAATTGAAAGTGTTGTAATCTAGCATCGTGTTCTCTACTAGAGTTTGGTAATAAATTATTTGTCTTATTCATCAGTTTCTTTATTAGGATATACTTGCATAGCTATAGAGATATGAAAGAAATATGATATCAACCCATGCTTAAATCTACTATATTAAAAATAAAACGGTCAAAGTAATTCTAGATAACTAATACACTATTTGATGCTATGATCATAACATTGAACTTGCCACACACTTTTTTCATTTTCTTTATGAATTAAATAATATGAACGACCTAAGTATAGATTATGTCTCCCAACAGTTCGAATATCAAGTAAAAATGAACCGTTTGGCTTTTTTTTAATATATCGACAAATAAGTTCTCTCAAAAACAATTTACAAACAACTCTATAGAATATAAGAAAAATTCAAATTCTTATTATCTATTAATTTTTTCTCAAAAATAATTTTTCTATAAATAAAATAAAATGATTAGAGTTCACAATTCTCACATATATTCTTATCATATTTTTGATGACGAGAAGAAGCTATTACTAACGGATTCTTCTTAGTTTTTATTGGTTTATGTAAATCTTTGAATGTATCTTTATCAAGAGTGAGTGTGAGTGTGGGTGTGACGGTTAGTGTATAGATACTCTTCTCTTCACCCACACCCTCAAGATGATTTCACAATTGATAATACCGATATTTATTAGATTTTCAGTAAGAATTAAAAATAACTAACAAAAAAATAAGATAAATTACAAGAATCAAACTAGAATGATTATTGTTTGTTCAAGAAACGTATATATTGATGATTTGAAAATAATACATTTAACAGCAAACAAAACTAAAATAAACTGAAAATTTTCTTTCTTTTTTTGTAAGTTAATTGGCTACTGGATTATCGTATTTATTGTCTTTGTCATTTATTTTAATAGACTCGCTATGTAGTTGCACATGTTGAGGATTTGCTTTTCATTAAATATCCAAGAGAAATGGCCATCGCCATACATTTGAAATAACTGGATATATTCATGATTCACTAGTGTATCAAGATTATTAAATGATGTATTGGTGTAGTATGAAAATAGTTCTAACTGATTGTCCAATGTCAAGTTGTCATCCACCTTGTTAGCTTTAAACAATACAATGTTTGTATTTTTGTTGGTTATATTTAATCCAAATGGTTCATTGTCTATCACCGGTAAATAAGAATAGTTTATTGTATCGACGATGTCTACTTTATCTAGTTTGCTAATTTCAAAAGAAGCCTTGCGTGCATTAAAGAATGAGTCAATCATAAATATATTACCAACTTTCTCGCCAGCATTAATCAATTGACGAGATAGTTCAAACGATAAAACACCGCCAAAACTCCAGCCTAGAAAGTGATATGGACCATCATGTTGGATTTCTTTTATATACTTTATGTATACAGGAGCCAATGCCTCAAACGAGAAGCCTTTTCCCATATTTTTTGCTTGAAGATCAAGATAGTAATTGTTGAATATTACCAGTTTATAGTGGGATAAATGAGGCACAATGTTATTGAAGTAGCTTTCGGCGCCACCCTCACCAGGCGGCAAAATGAACAAAATACTATCGCAACTTTCATTGATTACAACAAACGGATGCTCGAAAAAATTCGAATAGGTAGCAATTTCATGTGAAATTTGAACTTGTTCATCAAGAAAGATGCCCTTCTGAGCAAAAGAAGTAACATCTACAAGAGAAATCAGTGGGTTTATATATCTGATGTATATTTCTTAATTCAAAAATGTTTTACCTTGATTTCTGTGTAGTGTGTGCCATTGTGTTGTCTGTGTATCATTGGATGGAAGTGTCTGAAGTAGTTGTGCATGTTGTCGAATAGTTGGTTGCTGAAGAAAGGGACCAATTGAGAGTGAATGAGTATCAAAGTTAAATACTGATTGATAACGATGATAAAGTTCAATAAATAAAAGTGAATGACCACCAACGCTAAAAAAACTGGTAGTTCCAGAAATGTAACTTCCATTATAATGAAGAACTTGACACCAAATAGTGTGTATACGTTCTTCGAACTGATTAAGAGGAGTATCAGATTTATTGGACGATAACAAAGTCGATAAAGAAAAGTCGGGTGAAGGAAGTTGTTTTCGATCTACTTTTCCATTTGGATTCAGAGGTAATTTATCAAATATAATAAATATTGATGGAATCATATGTGGTGGAAGATGAGATTGACAATGTTCACGTAGTTCTTCTTCATTCATATCAGAACTTTGAACATATGCAACTAAATAATCATCATTCCATTTCATCACAACACAAGCAGATATAGATGTATTGTTAAGCAAACATCGTTCGATTTCGCCAAGTTCAATTCTTTGTCCATGAAGTTTGATTTGATGATCTTTCCGTCCTTGATAATGAAGAAGACCATTGTTATCCATTGTAACAAGATCACCTGTTCGATAAAATAGTTCACCATCTATTTCAATCAGAGCTCTTGCAGTTAAATCATCACGACCAAGATAACCAGCAAACACACCAACACCTCCTACAAGTAATTCACCGTCTTGATCGTTGACTGCACTTTGTAGATATTCATCAAAAATGACACATTGATAATTTGAAAGTGGTCTCCCAATTGGAATACTCTTCGTGTCAAGTTTTAAGTTCAGAGAATGAAAAGTAGCAACTATAGTGGTCTCAGCTGGCCCATATAGATTCCATAAAAAACAATTTGATATGTTCATACTAATGATTAAATTGAATAACTTTGTAGAGAAAGGCTCACCTAATAAATTTAAAACAGAACTATTCAAGATTATGGAAGATATTTGTTTGTTACTTACCACCACACCAAAGTGATCGAAGATATTTGATAGGATTACGAGTTTCGTATTGCTCAAGAAAGGTGAAAAAGCTATTGAGTAAAGTCGGTACAGTGCCCATACATGTTATTTGTTTCTTTTCTAAAACGTGTGACAAGTATTCAAAATCCATAGTTCCTCCTGGATGAAGCATAACGACAGTAGCACCCTGTAGTAAAATACCAAGTATTTCTTGAACATGAATATCAAATGAACATCTTGACATTTGCACAGTTGTATCATCTTTGGTGAACTCGTTCCCACTAACTAATGAATACATACATTCATTAAAATTCCCGTGCAGAACTGGAACCTATATGAAAATATAGAAATGAAAAAGATATCAACACATCAACTATCAACAAACCGCTTTAGGTGTTCCAGTTGAACCACTAGTGAAAACTATATAAGCTATACTATCCGGTGTCATTATTACATTCGATAATCTATCAACACCAACATTACTCATTACATCATTATCAACCAGTACTACATCAGTATCAAGTAACAAAACATTATTGTCAAATTTAGTTTTGGTTAGATAATGAACAAGAACGAGATGGCATTGTGTTTGTTCTATAAGGAAATGTAAACGATGTTGCGGATCTCGAGGTGATAATGGACAATAAATACCACCACTCATTTCAATTGCCATTATACCAATTACCTAAATAGTATTAATATTTCATTTAGAATAAATATTCATTTTATCAACAAAACTTACCATTGATAAACTTCGTTCGACACATTGACAAATAATATCTCCTGACTTTACAAAGTATTTGTTCAATAGATTCAAAGATAATATTTGCACATAATACAAGAGTTCACAATATGTCAATGATTGTTCATCTAGTTCAACAGCTAGTTTCTGTGGATGTCTCATCACTTGATATACAAACTCATGATGAATACAAGATATAGTCGGATGAGATACTTCTGTATTGTTTAATGATTGCATAAGTAATCTTTCGCTTGATAATGTTAATGATAATTCGCAGACTGGTTTCGTCATTTGATCATTAATACACGTAAATAATTGCTTCAACATTGTCAGTAATCTTTGTGCAATTATACAAATTGTTTCAACATTAATTAAATCAAGCGATGCATTAATGGTACATGAGAACTTATTTAGATTCAGATTATGTTGAAAACTAAGAATGAAATCAAATTTACTCATTATTTCATCTTCACTTATCTTAAT